CAGAATGGTATCGTGGACCTGAACTAGACATTTACCAAAAAGATAAAACAAATTCTAATGTTTTCTAATTTTTAATATTCAAATTTCCAAGGCCATTTTACCTTAGAACAGTTTAAAGAAAAATTGATAAATAATCGAATAATTCAATAATTTGTTGTTTCATTGATTGCCGATAAATATTCGTCAATCAGAGGAAATTTGATCGATTTAGTTTCATAATTAGTACAAATTCTCAATTATTTAACAAAAAAAAAATATATTGCAGTAAATAGAAAGAGTTGTTTTTCACTGGCTTGATAATTGATATTGATATATTTTCCACTGAATATTGTAAACGGCCTTCAAACAAAACACCACGTAATGATTTACGAGCAACGGATCGCATAACATTATTATTTATCGCTTTATTATTGTCATTGAGAATCCAAAGAGTTTAAACTCTTTTCGCATAACAATAAGAGAGAGGTAACCCCGAAAGATTCAAAACTGTAACGAAAATTTGGGAAATAATGGAAAAGTTGCGTTCGAGTTTATGACGGTGATTTAAAGCGTTTCCTTTTTCCGTTAAATTTTCCGGACGTTATGCACCTTCGGTGTCGTAATTCATAAGCGACCTCCACCAATGGCCCTTTTGACTGAAAAGTTTTGAGGTATCTCATGGTCGAATTTCCGCCATTAGCTTATAAATTATTTTATGACCACCAAAAATCGTTTATTGCACTTCACTCGGAAGTAAAGTCCACCTTGAGCGTGCAATTTACTGTTAAGGACACACTCAAATTATCGGTATTCATGACTATATTGTAATTGTACATTATTCAATGCGATGAATAACTAATATTACCAAAACTGCAGATTATTACCAAGACACAAAATTGATTCTTTCGATAAACTTGTCGGTTTTTTAACGAAAACAAATTTTGGAATTCAAACATTTTTACTCCAGGCTCTAGAATTTGTTAATGATTTTTTTCTTATTATTACAATCTTGTATAGGGAGAAATAAATAAGAGAGATCGGGGCAAAATGGGACATACCCTAGAATTGAATGCGGGTAAAATGGCATGGATTAGTCGATTCAATGGACGACAAGAGGAGAAAATCGTTCGTAAGAATTTATTATTCAACATTCTAATTCTTCCACAATTTTATTACACTTAGCTAATAAAAAAGTTAAATTTCCATATCAGAAATTTCACGGTCAAAAGAAGAAAAATTACCGATTAAAAATAGATGAGATATTTTTTGAGGAAGTGAAAAAATTTCTAAATTAACAAAGTAACAGTATAATTAAGAAAAAATTAAATTTGCAAAAAAAATCGGACACTTGTAGACTGCCTCCCACATTTTTTTTGCGAAAAAAAAATAGCTGAAAAAAAAAAAATAGCAAAAAAAAATAACATTTTTTTTGCGAAAAAAAAATAGCTGGTAATGAATTAAAAACGTTTTTCCACAAGTGTCCTGATTTGCCCGTCTCTTCCTTAATATAATATTATTTATTTAATTATTCTTTGTACTGAATATATACAGAGGATAAAATAGAAGGTCATCGATCATTTTATGGATTAATATATTCCATAAGTTTTCGGGATAATGCCTTTCTTCCTTTCGTATCGAATATATTAATCTATATTCATTCGGAAATTGATTAATTGAGCTTTAAAAAACTGCCTGAGTTATGAGATTCCCAAAACTTTTCGTGTTCATGGCGATTTGAATGTGAAGATGGAGTTTCGCCAACATCCTCCTTAAATTTCTATTTTGGCTCAATTTTTCTATATTTCCACAGCAAATTAATAGGATTTTTTTTTATCGTTCGTTCTACCAATAGAAATGCATCATTCGACGTCACGTGATACAATCTACTGGCTATTATACTGATGATTTTTGATGATTCCCTCTGCTAATTGCTATATAAAAAAAATAAAAAACAAAACATCATCCAGTCAAATGAACCCCACGACAAACTGATAGATATGAAATTTTTATTTCTTAACTGTGCACTGAGAAAAAAAACTTCTTAAGCCAATATTATTTACTAATTACAAGGAAATATATTCGGCATTGGTAAGTCTTATGGGAGTATTTTTACAGTGGTTGTCAGATTTTAAAGAAGTTCTCCCGTTTTTCACCGTTATGTGCTCCAAAATTTAGTTTTACTCATTATCGTTGCGTTCGATCTCATTTATGAGGATATATATTCTATACCATTTTAAACGCCTTGAGCTCGTTATATATTGTCGTCCAATTTTTCCAATTCTGCATCGATTTGATTGAGAGATATTAGCGATGAATCCCGGAAAAAATATCCCAGGGAAAAAATATCCCACACATTCAAAACATGTTAAAACTCGCTCAATTTAATTATTTTTTTCGTTGTCTATTTTTTCAGGGGCTCTAATTTTTCTATGGTCTATCAAATTGGGTGGGTTTTAACACGTTTTGGGTGTGTGGGCTATTTTTTCCGGGGATATTTTTTCCGCCTACCATTGGCGATAATGTGACGAATTCCACGAGTCTCATTTTGAAAAAACAGTGATTACCTTTAATTAAAATCCGTAATATTAATGAAATATCAATGAATTCCATTGAAAATTCTTAACAACAGAACGTCATCATAAATAATTTAGGAAAAAACAGTAATTCAATTAACTTTCATAGGAAAAATCTGGAAATATATTTGCACAGCGTAAGTTTCCACTTTCCATAATTTTCAATATTCTTCAATCGGTGGACGTAGATTTTTCTTATAATTACTCGAAGGGGAATTGAACATTTTTTTCCGGAGGATTGAATAAAATTCGAATATAAGAATTACAACAGACGGCAAAGGGTGGGAGAAGCCGATCTCATTTCGAAACTTGAATGAGTCGGCGGCTACCTCAAACGAGGATCGCCCTCTGTCCCGCGGCGCTCTTTTTCTCAACTTTTTTTTTTTCCCCTCGTGTTTTTCATCCTCAATTTTTTTTTCACCCCGTCACTGCACATTCCCTGATGTACCACACAGTGATCTCTCGGTTTTTCCTCGTGCCCGCAACAATGGCCGGCATCCGCCGTGCGTCGCTCGCATCGTGGAAGATCAAATGAGACGAAAAAAAAAAAATTAAAAAAAAAAAAAGAGTCTCTGGCGGTAACACAGGGAGCAAAACCGGGTCCACAATGATGTGCCACATCTGGGGGTAATGAGTAATCTCGATTCATTCCGTCAGTGAAAATATCTCAGACTCATTCGAAAGTCATTCTCTTGTTTTTTTTTTTTTTCATTAATGAAATATTTCCTGGGAAAAGTAGAAAAATTTCACAGATAAAGTCTGGAAAATGGAATGAATGTTTCTTTATTTCTTATTTCTAGTTGCTGAAACTAATAATAGGATTCAAATTGTGCATGTGATTATTGGAAATTTCGTGGAATTAGCTAATTAATTAATTAATTGCTGCTGGAATATCATGACAAGTTTGATTTTTAAAATAAAAGTCGATAGGATAGTAGTCCTCTGAAGGATTGTAATAAAAAATACTGTTGAAAACACAGAATAGCAATTATGGTTTTAATTTGAATTATGACATTTTTTCTAATTACATCCGCGACAACAAAAATGACAAGTTCAAATAAAAGAAATCCCCAAAAATATCGAAAGGCTGACGACAACCCCAAAACGAAGCGATAAAGATCAAAAGTAATACTAACTCATAAACAATAATAATAACAATGATGATAATTTTTTTTTAACGATAATTTCAACTCCAGTAATTACCATTACAATAATTGCATGAATTGCATCCGTAATCGGAAAAATGACATTTTTCCCGTAAAAATTTCCCCTAATATATTTTCTTCTTTTCCAATAGCGCAATGAAATTCCTTTAGATGTAATGCACTCGAAATTGAACTAAAAATTTGTCTACTCGATCATTTGGCGGTTGAAAAAAAAAAATTGAAGAAAGGTATGAAGTGCGAGAATGCAATCAAAATCCAACTGCCACTGAAAAAAGAATATTTGAAGCACGAGGTGGTCCTCTCCCTTTGATAGCGGGTAATGACATCATTTTCACGTCAGGGGTTTCCGGTGCAAATTAATTTATCAGCCGGCGGACACAGCCTGCAACATTACACCAACACAGGTACATCTTTCACCCTTTTATCTCTTTTCTCCTGACACTGTCTCCGTCTCTTACACACTTGGAGGTATCGAAATTACCTCTGGAGGCTTTTTGTTGCCGATCCGGGTTGGCCTCTCGCAAATTAGAAGCCCCCGTCGGTCTCCTACCATCCACCACCTCACTTCGCACCTTTTCCCTCGACCTTATCATCTTCTTCATCTTTTTTTCATTTCATTAATTTCACCCGAGCCCCTCTCACCCCTTTTCGGCTATTTTCTCGTGAATGATTCGACAGGATTCTACTTTATTTATCGGACGTGCGACTCTCTTTTTTTAGGTCTTCATTGTAAATGTTTGAAGCAGTTTAGATTTTAAATTGGTGACTATTTGCTTTTAGACACGCACATTTATTTATTCATTTATAGTTATTGAAAAATTTCCATTTTTACGGTCTTCCTCGTTTTTTTGTCGTTTTAGGATTCGATTGGACTTAATTTTATGTATGATCATTTTTAATATTAAAGATATTGAAGATTATAGCCAATTAATTTTTCAGAAAATGTTGATAAAATTAATGAAAAACACATTTTTGTTATGAATTCTCATAATTCAAATTTTTCATCTTTTTTTTTGAAAATTCATGTTCACTCACACTTTTCTCTGTTGTTGAAATATAGACGCAAGAAATGTGAATTACGATATTATACCGATTATTTTTTCCCTACAAATTTCAGCCAATAGAATTGCACCATTCGATTGTTTTGTTAATAATCAACAAGAAATTGAAGTGATAATTTTTTGAAAATTTAATTGAAAAGATTTGATTTTTGATTTTGTCTCGTGGTGCAATTCTATTGGCTGAAATTTGAACGAAAAAAGTAATTCCCGAATAGAACTCGAGTTTTTAATTCAATCATATATTTCCCACTAGGTTCCCTGCAAACAAACTAGCTTGTCAATTTTTCCAGAAAAAAAAATTCACGCTCGTGATTTTTGAACTTGGGATAACTTGACACCTTCATTTGTTTACAACAAACCTATCGGAAAATATCCAGTAATTTCGAAGCGCTTGGGGTATTATAAGTGATAATTCACCTAAAGTTGGACCACAGAGCCTAACAGAAAGGATTAGCAATTCATTTGAGGAATTACCTCGAAGATTTGGGCGGAGTGAACGGCTGAGTAGAAATTTCCGACATTTTTATTGTTCGAGGGAGGATAATTATGGTGACCAGAGTGTTATTATTCACGTGGTCACGCATTTGGTTGCAGCAATTGTCGCTGAATCGGTAGTTTCCGACTGGTGCATCAATCCTGAGTGCGGGGTTTCCCTCGGGAGCCCTCAAATTTTCAAAAAAAATGGGCGGGATCGAAAATAATCCCTTCGGGATTAACTTTAGCATTAACCGGAAGTCTCCTAGGACAGCATTAGTGGAAGATTAGGCGGACTGTTGGTACAAACTCAATGCTCGGAATTGGCAAAACTTTCGGATAATCCTTGACGTTAATTCCCGGATTGTAGAGTCAATGGTCCGATATTTATACGTAAACTTGGGATTTGATTTTTCATGTTTGGGAATTACAGGTTCCTCTCGATCCAGCAAATGAAAACAAATTAAAAATAAAAAAAAAGGAATTTGATGAACCCGAAACATGTCTCCACCATTCGTACCCTTCATAATTCGTATTTAACATTTCAAATAATTGCAAATTGTTTTATCAGTTATAAGTATTTATCAAAAATTCAATATTATACGTTAGCGCATGGGATGCGTGCGCGTCACCTGTGAAAAATTACGACACCATTGCTTAAATCTTTCGAGTCGATTCGGGAATCGATAAGCGAACTGAGAGTTTCGTAATTTTGACTAAATATTTCTGCCCGTGTGACAGACATATCTATTTTTTTAACCCACTGATGTAGCTAACCTACCGATGTAGGTTTAGTATAAATTGATTTGACATTTTCAATGATAATATATCTTGAATATATTTTTCCGAAAAAAACAACTCGCGAAATGATTAATGTTTCATTTTATTTGTTTTCAGCATGTCTTATTACCTTCGAGAGTGTCTCATAATACAATCATTTACAGTAAATAACTATCGAAGGATGTCTTGTCGACCAACTCCCCCCTTGTAGTTGTATTAGCAAGCCACAAAGCTGACCATTTAAGTGTCCTCGTCCTATTGGGATGATTAAAATCCACGCTTACCAATCCGTAAGGGAACCTGAAAAATTAGTATTCAAAGATGAATCTTAATCAATGAACTTAATAACTGATGTTTTATGATTCTATTATTTACGTACTTATAACCTTGAAGCCATTCGAAATTGTCTAGGAGACTCCACACTGTATACGCTTTAACATTACAACCATCTCGGTTTATAGCCAGAAGCATTTCCTTCATGTGATCGTATAGATATTCTTCTCTTTGTAAGTCATAAAGACTTTTATCAGTCGCAATACCGTTCTCTAGTATATAAACTGGCGGATTATCATAGGTTTCTTTGATAAATCTGAGCAGGTCTCCGAACCCCTTGGCATGCACCTACACCACAATTTTAAAATATAACATGCCTTTCTATTATATATTTTAGTTTCAGTTTTAGTTCACAGAACTAAATGGACTTACGCTCTGCCATCCATTAACGGCTCTAGGCCAATGTCGATTGCGGAAATTAATAGCAGGTTTGGCACTCGTTTTGTTCGGGTTACGTCTGGATAAGTATGATGCGTAATAATTAAGTCCTAAGTAATCAGATGATCCCCTGGAATAATAGAATGAGTATTTTAACTTTAACTTCTGTATACTTTGATAAACAATCAATTTTAAGAAGTTTTAGGATCAGATATTAGGTGAAAAAATAACTTTGCAATAGACTTTTTTAAAGAAAACTGCCAAGCAATTCCATCTTATCTTTTTCACAACTTGAGAATGCCTTCTAGGCGAGATTGTTTTTATACTCTGCGAATGAAATCGAGTACCTTATAAGATCAATCCACTCTGATGAGAATTTCGGTAATGTCTTCACGTATTGCTTCATGACAGCTGGGTAATCTCCATCCTTGGAGAATATCGGATTGATAGTCCATCCACCGTGAAACTCATAAGCTATTCTCGCTATTTCTGTATCATTCTGCATGGATGGGTAAAAATAATGGCTCACTGCAACGATCCCAATTTGTCCGTTCTGCGTTTTTCGGAATTCTTCGTTGTACATGTGGTAAACTTTCGCGTGAGCTTTCAACATATTGTGAACACAGCTATATACTAGTTCATTCGCACCTGAACTGCCGACAATAACAGCTGAAAATAGTCAGATGGTAGAAAATATTAAATATTATACACGAAGAGAGAAGTCCAAGAAAAATTACTGTGCCGAGCACTACAATCGTGGTGCGGAATTCTAGAATACTAGAACTTCTTTGATTCACAAATAAAAATTACTATCAATATGTCAAATTTTCTTATACATTCCGTAATTAATCATGTGTGGCTCCATAAAATTTACTAAACAGCACTATAAAATTTGAAGGTCTATCATTTTTTGTTTGAGTTTGAAAGTAA